TCTAAGTAGAAGTCCATCCATTGTGCAGCCTAAAAGAACAAGGAACGACACTCAGAAAAGTATGCGGCAGGACTGGGCTATCACATAACCCAGAAGCACAGAGATGGGGTGGGGTGGGGGGGCTGAGGATTTCTACCTTGCTCTCCAACCAGAGGGGAGCCCTACAAGTCTACAGGAAGTCATTAAGTCTGTAATAGAGGTTATTTGGTTTGGAGGGAAGTTCTAACTCTGGATTGTTTAATATTAGTCAGACTTCTGTGGTTAAGGATGGCCCAGTATGAGGTTAATTAAAACGCCTGTCAAATACACCTGAAGGTTAAGGGCGGCAGCTGGCAGTCACCATCAGCACTCAGAGGAGGCCAGCTCCGGGCGGATGCTCACCCGCCCACCAGCAGAGCCCCCAACACAGGTGCCTTGGTGCTCCCTTCTCATTGGCTATTGCCCGGTACCTCGGGCGCTCATTGGCCGGCTCGGACTCAGGCTTCTTTTATTAGCGACCCGCAGCGCAGGTCCACAGGCTGGTCCCGCTGATCACGGCGCTCGAGGTGAGTAGGGGTGGTCCCTCCTCCGCCCCATCAGGAACTGCCGGGAAATATTTGGGGGCAATGGGTTGGTGCGGAGCATGGGCAGAGTCACCTCCCCGCACCCCCAAAGTTAATCCTCATTAGGAGCTGGGGCTGGTAGGTCAAAGCTACCCCTTGTGAGTCTGAATGCTGTCTCCTGTCTTCTTTGGGGGGGGGGGGGAGGTGAGGGGACAGAAAGTATTTTTGAGGGGCTTCTGTTCTTTACCTAGCACCTTTAAAACAACTCCTGCGAGGTAGATGTTTCTTGCGTTTTATCAATGATGATATTGGGGTTTTGAGTTGAACCGAAAATCTATGTAACTTCAAATGAGCAGACACATTCTTCTTCCATCCATCTCCACCAAGGGGCAGCGTCTTCTCTTCTCTTCTCCTAATTGGATTGATCTCTCAGATTCTCCAGAGGAAAGGGTGTCTCAGCTGCCAAGCTTCTGAGCATCACACCTACCTTCATTACCTCCAGGTCCCCAGAAGACAGAGGCAACATCTAGTTAATTGTTTACCGCTAGTTAATAGCCCAGGTAAACTTCACCTTGGCTAAACTTAAACTGTTTGATTTGCAGAGTTTTAAAACTAAATCCCAGTTGATGTTTTCTTTTGGGGGGGGGGGGTCTGGTCGTGGGGCCTGAACTCTGGGCCTGGGCGCTGTCCCTCAGCTCTTCAGCTCAAGGCTAGCGCTCTACCACTTGAGCCACAGCGCCACTTCCGGCTTTTTTCTTTTTGCTTATGTGGTGCTGAGGAATCGAACCCAGGGCCTCAGGCATGCAAGGCAAGTGCTCTACCACTGAGCTACCTTCCCAGCCCAGTTGATGTTGTCTTAAGGTAGGAAGAAGAAAGACAAGAGTTGAACTTGTTAATTCAGTAAAAGTCTGTGCCTGTGGATTTTAAAGTGGAATTCTAGCTCCAGATCTTTCTGTAAAGTTATTGTCTGTAGATTACACATTTTATTACTAGAATTCATGTACACATTATTATGCATCATGATAGCACATATTATTACTATAATAATATGTAATGCACATAATTTAAATGTGTATAAGATAATCTACTATGTTAATTCTTCAGATAGGAATGTATCTTCAATCTCTTTTCTTGCCAGTTCCTTTATGTCCTGGAATAATATTTTTCTTTTTTTTATTTTCACCAATTTATTTTATTTGTTTTAAGTCATTTTTAGGTCAGTCTCAGGTAACTGAAGAGCCTTTCTTTAGCTTATATTGTCTAGATCCAAGGTATGCTGCAAATGAAGTCTGAAGTAAAATGGGAAATAACATTTTTCTAAAGACAGGCTTAGAAATCCTGATCCAGTAAGTTAAGATGTTTGCTTTATTTGGTAGCAGCGCTGATCCGTACCTGGCTGCTAGACCACCATTTACAGTAATAGCCAAGATAATAGGGTACAGACTACCCACAACTAGATCAATCAGTCCACCCCGTGTCATGGTACAGGTTTCACAACTCAAATCACCTGTACTCAAAGGTAAACGTACGAAACCTTTGTAAGCCACATTAGCTGTCAAAAATGGGATCACTGCCACTGGTAAGCCAGATGCCACTGGAGCCTATCTGCTTCTGGAAGTTGGTTAATTTTTCTGGTTATGATATCAAAAACTAAGTTTTCCTTGAGAGTATCATCTGGTTTATGATCCATCTTGAACCTCCCAGCAGCCGGCTCTGGGTTTCCTCCTGGGCCGCTCAGGTCTCACTGCCACCTTTGCTCCATTTGCCTGGCCGCAGCCATCTTTGGCTTGGAATAATATTTTTCATGGGCAATATTTTCATCTGTATTTCCTCTCCATTTTCAACCTCATACCCACCCCCTTTCTAGAAAAGGAAACCAAGATTCTCTGGGAATTCTTTCCAAGCTAGTCCTCCTTTGTAGCTGTCTGTTCTGTCTTCAAACAGTATTCACATTTTCAAGACTTTTTTGATACTGCTTTGGGTTCCCTAGATAAAATTAAATTGATTTAACTGAGAGAAGAAAACAGTTGATCAGGGCATGCACCTTGACTATCCTTTGTCATGGGGCTGCTAATGTACCTAACTGTTTCTTGGTATGCCTTATGGCTAACGCTTGGTCCTCCAAGGAAATGCAGGAGTAGAATGATTCCCTTTGAGGAACATTTCTTGCCTACCTTTCGGGAATGCTTTAAAAAGATAATGCAGGGGCTGTGAAGGTGGCTCAGTGGTAGAGTGCTTGCCTTGCATGCAGGAGGCCCTGGGTTTGATTCCTCAGCACCACATAAGCAGAAAAAGCCAGAAGTGGCACTGTGGCTCAAGTGGTAGAGAGCTAGCCTTGAGCTGCAGAGCTGAGGGACAGCACCCAGGCCCAGAGTTCAGGCCCCATGACCAGAAAAAAAAAAAAAGATAATGAAAACATCTTGTCTACTTCTACATATGGGTTCAAACAAGTGTGACCCATTAGTCATTTTGTAGCCTTTAAACTTACCAAGCTAGAATTGACAAGCTAGTATTTACAGGCTAGAGGGATTCCCCAAAGGTGGAAGAGAAGGTAGAAGGTTGAGGAAGGAAAGAAAAACCAAGGTCCAGTACTGAGGGTCTGAAAAGGAGCTGAAGATAGTTGAATGAAGGAACAAAAATTGATTCCTCATAAGCGCTAAATTATAGAATGTTATGAAAATATGGATGATAACATTTTCTCCCCAGGCTATGGCCCCCCAATGTTCAGAAAAGGAGAAAGATACATGTTTTTAAGGACCTGGTGTTAAAGACCTGTTCTCACCTTCTCCACATGTTCATGGGCATGGATAGCTTAGTTACTAAAATTTTCAGTTTTCTCATTGATAAAATTAATATAATTTCTCTCCACACCTCTAAGGTTTTTAAGAGAATTAAATGGGATAATACTAGTGCATGATAATTTTAGCTTAGACATTTTGACAAATGGGTGCTAAGAATGGATGAAATCTAGCCATCAATAGAATGTGGAACTACTTTTTTCCTTATCTCCATATTCTCGGAACTTATAGTTATATGACTTTCAATCTGTTACAAGCCTGATAAATATTTGTTCAACTAAATTCCAAAGGCATCAGAATGGTTGAGTTCTAAAACAGAAAACTAGCATTCCACTGGCAAATTCATTATCAGACTATTGTTTATGACCATATAGTTGAGAATAATTGAGGCATGCTTGGTACTTTATTCCTCTGTCACGTCAGGTGAGTCTCTTTGGGGCTTCCTCCTGTCTTTTAAGGAGCCCTTAGATGTTATGCAGCATGTATTAAGAAAAAGGATGTGCATTATTTACCATATCTAAGATATGGAACCAACCCAGGTGCCCCTCAGTAGATGAATGGATCAAGAAAATGTAGTATATATGTATACAATGGAATTATATGCTTTCATCAGAAAGAATGCACTACTTCATTTGTAAGGACATGGAAGGACTTGGAAAAAATCATATTAAGCTAGACCCCCAAAAAATAGGTCCCATGGTTTCCCTTATTTGTAATAATTAGTCTACATCTAGGATAAAAATCTTAGCAGATGAGCAGAATAGCTCAATAGCTATGTACATATGACCATATAAGATGATGGTAAGTGAAATGAGCTCCAAGACATGGACACAAGAGGTTTTTCTTTGTTGTTGTTCTCAATGTACTATGTGATTTCTTTTTTGTTTGTGTTTTTTTTCCTCCTATGATTTATCCCGTTGTCATTGTATTCAAATTTGGTATCCTGGGTATTGTATATATGTTTATCTGAACTAGGGAAGGGAAGGGGAACAACAAAATGGTGAGACAAAGGACAAAGTGGGAACCTATGCAACAGCGATACTCACAAGACAATATGTTGGAAATGATCTGTACAACTTGGAGGGGGGATGGGAAGAGGGAAAGAGGGAGAAAAATGAGGGAGGGGGTAACAAGTGAGACAAGAAATGTAATCACTACCTTACTTATGTAAACTGTAATCCCTCTGTACATCACCTCGACAATAAAAAAATAAAGAAAAAGACTTCATTGGATGGAAGGGAAAGCTCATAAGAGCTTTCTAATCAGAAAGCCTAAAGTCTTTATTCAAGAGTACTAAAATTTTGATGGGAGGAAGGCAGGCATTTACAGAGGGAGAACACTCAGTATCAAGTTACCAGGAAAGTTTGTATTCTAAAAGAATATTTGGATTGGTAAAAGAAGAAAAGAGAACCAGCAGCATATGTATTTTATGTCTGTTAAAGTCTAGGCATTGCATTAGTCAAGGCGATGCTATGTTTTGATCTCATTGTAGTCTTGCTAGGCAGAACTACACATTCACATTTCGCAGGTGAAGAAACAGAAGCTTGGAGAAATGAACATGCCCTAAGTTATCAAATATTTTCTGTGCTGTACAACCTCATGTTTAGCCTTATGTCTGTATTTTTATACTTTAGTATTGGAGAATCACTCTAAACTCATCATGATCGAAGACAATAAGGAGAACAAAGACCATTTGTTAGAAAGGGGAAGAGCAACTCTTATTTTTTCCTTAAAGAATGAAGTTGGCGGACTTATAAAAGCACTGAAAGTCTTCCAGGTAAGTCACACACACACACACACACACACACACACACACACACACACACACACACACACACACACACACACACACACACACACACACACACACACACACACACACACACACACACACACACACACACACACACACACACACACACACACACACACACACACACACACACGCTGCTCCTGGGGCTTCATTACTCAAGACTTGAGTCATAGCTCCACTTCCAGAAGTAATAGTCTCACAGACTTTATTGCCTGAGCTAAGGTTGAAGTCCTGAGTAGCTAGGATTACAGGCATGGGCTACTGGCACCTGGTACCATATTTCTTTCTTTTTTTTCTTTTTCTTTTTTGTGAACATACTGTACAGAGGGGTTACAATTACATGGGCAACATAATGAGTACATTTCTTATCAAGCATTGCAGCCTCCTCCTTTGTTTACCCTTCACATCCCTTCCCAGCCTCCCCCCCACCCCCACTCAATCCCCCCCCCCACACACACACCAAAGTTGTAAAGTTTGTTTTCGACATGACAATTTGTACTTCTCATTGTTGCAACGGGTCCACCTGTATCCTTAAACGACTTGTTTTTCCCCATCTCCTCCACAAATTATACCGACATCAAATATAGTGAAAGCAGGGGTTATACTGTGGGGGAGGGACATACAAAGCAACAAAGAAATAATCTTATAAATGCGTTAGAAACAAATGCATGAAAGAAAAATACCTTTAAATACATATCTAAGGGTTCATTTTCCTAACAGCACATTATCTGACCTTTTCTGCTTGACTCATACATATACTAGATATTGCAAATAAGGGAAACCATGGGACCTATGTTTCTTTGAGTTTGGCTTACTTCACTTAATATAATTTTTTCCAAGCCTTTTCATTTCCTAACAAATGGGGCAATGTCATTCTTTCTGATGGAGGTATAGAATTCCATTGTGTATATATACCACATTTTCTTGATCCATTCATCTACTGAGGGGCATCTGGGTTGGTTCCATATCTTAGCTATGGTAAATAATGATGCAATAAACATAGTTGTGCTGGTAGCTTTAGTGTGGTCTTGTTTGTAAACATTTGGGTAAATGCCCAAAAGTGGGATTGCTGGGTCATAGGGGAGCTCTATGTGAAGTCTTTTGAGGAACCTCCATACTGCTTTCCAAAGTGGTTGAACAAGTTTACACTCCCACCAACAATGCAGTAAGGTTCCCTTCTGTCCACATCCCCTCCAGCATCTGTTGTTATTAGAGTTGTTGATTATAGCCATTCTAACTGGGGTGAGGTGATATCTCAATGTTGTTTTGATTTGCATTTCTTTTATGGCTAGGGAGGTTGAGCATTTCTTCATGTGTCTATTGGCCATCCTTCTTTCTTCTTCAGAGAAGTTTAAGTCTTTAGCCCACTTATTTATTGGGCAGTTGTTTCTTTGAGGATTTGTTGTTGGGGGATTTAATTTTTTAAGTTACAAGTATATGTTAGATATGAGACCCTTGTCCGTTGTATGGCTAGTGAAGATCTTCTCCCAATCCGTAGGCTTTCTATTGATCTTGCTAGCTATGTCCTTTGCCATGCAGAAGCTCTGCAACTTCATGCAATCCCATTTGTCCAACCTTTCTTTCATTTGTTGTGTTTCCGGGTCTCTATTAAGAAAATTTCAGCCTGAGCCAAAGAGACCTAGGGTTTCTCCTATTCCATCCTGTAATGTTTTCAGAGTGTCTTGGCACCATATTTCTTGATAAAACTTTTCTAAGATGAATCTATAAAACTGCACTTAAAGTACAAATTATCGCAAATTCTTCAGAGATGAACAGACATTTCTTAACTTAGATTTCGAAACTATTTTTCAGTTCTAATGAATGGGTCAAAGATATAGACAGCCTATGGAAGAGTAGGTAGGAATAGCTAATAAAAAATTGGGGGGCCAGGTGCCAGGCCCACTCCTATAATCCTAGCTACTCAGAAGGCTGAGATAGGAGGATTGTGATTCAAATCTAGCTCTGGCAGAAAAGTACTCATGTGACTCTTATTTCCAATTAGCCACTCAAAAACTGGAAGTGGTGCATGGCTCAAAGTGGTAGAGCACTAGCCTTGAGCAAAATTGCTCAGGGACAGCACCCAGATCCTGTGTTAAAGCTCCACTTTTAAAAATTCTTTTTAAAAAAAGAGAATGGCAGGGGAGGGGGGGAGATTTACTTCATAGATTGCAAAGATATTTTAATTAAATAAAATATTTTAAACTCAATGATATACCTACTCATATATTATTTTTGTTGTTGTTGTTCGTGGGGCTTGAGCTCTGGGCCTGGGCACTGACCCTGTGCTCTTCAGCTCAAGGCGAGTGCGCTACCACTGGAGCCACAGCGCCACTTCCTGTCTTTTGAGTGGTTTATTAGAGATAAGAGTCTCACGGAGTTTCCTGCCCGAGCTGGCTTTGAACATCAGCTGGCTTTGAACGTGATCCTCAGATCTCAGCCTCCTGAATAGCTAGGATTATAGTCGTGAGCCACCGCCGCCTGGCTCTACTCATATATTATTAATGATTAATTTGATAACATTATTTAATGATACACTAATAATACATTTGCAGATACCAAAGTAGTAGTACAATTATACTGTTCCACACAGTCAGAATTTCAATGCATTTGGTTTTTAAATGTACCTTCACTGTAAGCATAAATAGGTGTGATATAGGGAAGCTATCTGGTAAATATGTATTTATGAGCCCTAAAATGTTTGTATTTTCTGGCTCCATATTTTTTTTAATCTGTCCTGGGGCTTGAACTCTGGGACTGGGTGCTGTTCTTGATCCTCTTTGTACTCAAGGCTAGTGCTCTACCACTTGAGCCACAGCGCCACTCCCTGCTTTTCTGAGTAGTTTATTGGAGATGAGAGTCTCACAGACTTTAATGCCTGGGCTGGCTTCTAATTGTGATCCTCAGATCTCAGCCTCCTGAGTAGCTAGGATTATAGGTGTGAGCCACCAGCACCCAGCAATAATTTTATTTCTGCTAAATTGTCTTGAGAAAATATGGATGAGTCAGGCAGAACATGAATGTTTACTGAATTTCAGGTTCTAGATGCTGTGCTAGGTTTTAAAAACATAAACCTGAATAAAGTGGACAGTGTATATACCTACCCTCACAAAATATGTAATCTAATGAAGAATACAGACATTAAAAAATAATTATAGGGGCTGGGAAGGTGGCTCAGTGGTAGAGCGCTTGTCTTGCATGCCTGAGGCCCTGGGTTCAATTCCCCAGCACCACATAAGCAAAAAGAAAAAAAGCCGGAAGTGGCACTGTGGCTCAAGTGGTAAAACGCTAGCCTTGAGCTGAAGAGCTGAGGGACAGTGCCCAGGCCCAGAGTTCAGGCCCCACAACTGGACCCAAAAAGAAAAACAAAAAATTATAAGGGCTTGGAAGGTGGCTAAGTGGAGAGTGCTTGCCTTGCATGCATGAGGCCCTGGGTTCGATTCCTCAGCACCACATAAGCAGAAAAAAAAAGCTAGAAGTGGCGCTGTGGTTCAAGTGGTAGAGTGCTAGCCTTGAGCTGAAGAGCTCAGGGACAGCACCCAGGCCCAGAGTTCAGGCCCATGACCGGACCCCCCCCCCCAAAAAAAAAAAATTATAGCTGGACATCAGTGGCTCAGGCCTCTAATCCTACTCAGGAGGCAGAGGTCTGAGGAAGTTTAAAGCCAGCATGGGCAAGAAAGTCTATGAGACTCTTATTTTCAACTATTAACTATTAAAAAGCCAGAAACAGAGCGATGACTCAAAGTGGTAGAGCACTATCCTTGAGCAAACAAAGCTCAGGGGTGGAGCCCAGACCCTGAGTTCAAGCCTCAGGACTGGCACAGGAAAAAAAAACAAACAACACCCAAAACAACACCAAAAAACAAAAAGGTAATTATAATAAGAAAATAATTATGTGTGTGCAAACTAACCTAAAAGAGAAGTAGCAGGTACTGTGACAGCATGGAATTAAAGGACCTAATATAATTTAATAGCTTGGGGATGCTAAGGATTTATTTATAGGAATTAAAAATTATAAACTGGGCTGAGAATGTAGCTTAGTGGTAGAGTGCTTGCCTAGCATGCATGAAGTCCTGGGTTTGATTCTTCAATACCACATAAACAGAAAAAGCCATCTAAGGTGCTGTGGCTCAAGTAGTAGAGTGCTAGCCTTGAGCAAGAGAAGCTCAGGGACAGTGCACAGGCTGAGTTCAAGCCCCAGGACTAGCAAAATAAATTATAAACCAACTACTTGGCTACAGGCTGGATTATGTTACTGGAACACCATTATCATAGTGTTTATCCTCATTTACCTACCTTGGTGAGGGAGCATCCCTCCTCTACCAAGTTTACAAGGGGTAAACCCAAAGCTGAGGCTGACATGGCAAGATCAGAAGCAAAGTTCAGATGCTTACTAAATTTTTAGGTCTTAAATACTCTGTTAAATCTGTTGCATTTAATTTTATGAATGCACTGTTTCAAAGGCTAATATTATTTTCTCAGGACTAATATTGTTATCATATTTGGAAAACTAACTTTGTGAGGCTTTTCCAATGGTTCTTCAGAAGATTTGGTGTTTTGACTTGAAATCCAGCTAATTATGACAATCTGTGGAGGACCTCCAGTGGTGTTATTTTATTGTTTTTTTTTTTTAGAATGTGATGAATTATATGTTGTACATTATTTTGCTTTTAACAGCACTTACAAGCAGCCATTTTCCCTCTGATGTGTAAAATTGGTTTTCAGGGGTAATGAAAGTAATCTGTTAACATTTAACAGAATTCCATGTGATCTTTACCCTCTACTTTATACAGGAGAATCATGTGAATCTGTTACATATCGAGTCCCGGAAATCAAAGAGAAGAAATTCTGAATTTGAGATTTTTGTTGACTGCGATATCAACAGAGAACAATTGAATGACATTTTTCACCTGCTGAAGTCTCATACTAACGCTCTCTCTGTGAATCCGCCAGATAATTTTACTTTGAAGGAAGATGGTAAGTTTGAAAAGTGAAAATGCTACTTAGAAGAAGAATTACCTAATGTACACTCAATCTTTCATTTATCTTGAAGACATGAAAGTAAAAATAAAATACTGTCATTTCAAATATCTCGGAAGATATTTGAAAGATGGCAAGAATTTCTTGATTCCAAAATCCTCCAGTTTTATAGTTCTTGAGCAACACAGGAACTCTAATGGGAACTTAGCATCTAGCAGATATTGAATGAATATTGAATTTATTGATAGTGTCGATAGTGTCTAATGACTATATTATGAATTATGCACCACATTCCTATCAAAAGTAAATGAGAAAGCAATACAACTAAGACTTCCAATATGCAGATAGCAAAGATAGAGAGAAATAAAACCTTATGGCATTAGTAGATAAATGAATTGATTGAGGCATAATTTATATATGGTTGAGACCTAAAATAATTTCTTCAAATTACATTACAGACTGGAAGAAAGCAAAGGAAGGGAAGGGGCAACATTGTCCAAAAATGTATTCATTATCTGATTTATGAAATGGTAATCTCTCTATATAACATCTTAATAATAACAATAAAATTATATTATAATTTGGAGTATATTCAGGACTGATACTTAGCTGTCTTACATTTGTGCAGCTGTATAATTAGTAAGATAGAGGTATAGTTCCATGTCTGTCTGTCTGGGAGCTGCCGCCCTGAGTGCTTGTATTATGCCCAAAGTCTCTATTGCTTCCTGCTCTCCCCTAGGACATCCATGCCCATCATTAATAAAGAAGGGTTTATACCTGGCTGAGCAAAAGTGAAGGCTCCCCTGCAATCTATTTGGCGTGGTCAGTGTCCTTGTTGTATTTGCTGTTAAATCTCTTAATACTTTACTCAAAGCACTGGAGCAGGGAGGATTGAGTCCTAATCCTTGTTCTTCTGTTGGCAGTGAGTAACCTTAGATAAATTTCCTTCCCTTTGTGGAGTTTGGTTATCTCACTTATAAAATGACGAGTTTTATAGATGGCTAGATGGTTCCACTGATATTTAGGGTGCACTAATTTGTGCCACATATTTCTACTAAGAAACAGTAATACAAGCACAGTTCTTATCCCTTCATCCCCAGTCTTCTGCGAAAGACAGACATACAAATACATATATTACAATAAAATAAGAAAGCCTTTAGAATGTCGAAGCCAGAGAAAATTCCCTGTTCCTATAGTCAGGAAGACTTTGTGGATTGAGGAAGTCTTATTAGACTTGGGTCTAGGAGGATGAGAAGGTTGTTCTTAGGGAAATGGAAGATTGGGGTGCAGTGTGGTCGAGTATGAGTGGGATGGATGGAAGGCAAATATGTAAAAACAGTCTTGTGATGTCTAGAAGGAATGGTAAGATCAAGGTGGCAAAAGCATAAACACACTTCTAAGATTCTTTTGGTCTATAAGAGTATTTGAAGTTCTTATTAAGCTTGAACTTTGGTCGGTAAAGTTATACAGCTTTATTCTGTTTTTACAGGGTAACTAAATATTTGGCTAAAAAGTTTTTGAACTTTTGGTCTGTTACTAAAGTAGTGTTCCTCCAATGTTTGGGAAATTAACAGAACACTAATAAAATTTTTAATGAGTAAAATTCATTTCTTAGAAAGAAATATACTTGTATAATTTTGCTTCTATGTTCAAATTAAAAAATCTCACATGAATTAATTTATTTCTTAATTTATTATTACTACTTTTTTTTGCCAGTCCTGGGGCCTGATCTCAGGATCTGGGCATCTTTTGTTCAATGCTAGTACTCTACCACTTGAGCCACAGTGCCACTTCTGTTTATGAGGAATCAAACCCAGGGCTTCATGCATGCTAGGCAAGCACTCTACCACTAAGTCACATTTGCAGCCATCTCTTAATTCAATCTAGCCTTGTTCAAGATTTTTTCCCTTCAACTTCTAGCTGGTTTTTTCTTTATGTTGCAGGTATGGAAACAATTCCTTGGTTTCCAAAGAAGCTTTCTGACCTGGACTTCTGTGCCAACAGAGTTCTGATGTATGGATCTGAACTAGATGCTGACCACCCTGTATGGATTTTTACATACATATTCTCATGGAAATAGTTTAAAGAAAACTAAAAACTAAAAATATGTCTTCTAGACAAATAGGCTCTTCTTTGCATCCTGATCTCTGCAAGATTTGTAGACCCCTCCATTGGTGGAATAGATACTAGCTTCCTGAAAAGTGTCTAATTTCATTGAAGCTAAAAACATCTGTCTTAGGCCTGACATTACTATTATTAAGAACTATTCCAAGAGTTGTAGAGTTGTGTGGTGTTTGCATGAGCCCTGTTGGCTCATGCCTGTAATCTTAGCTACTCAGGAGGCTGAGATCTGAGGATTGCAGTCCAAAGCCAGCCTTGGCAAACTCCGTGAGACTCTTATCTCTAATAAAACACTCAGAAAACTGGAAGTGGCCCTATGGCTCAAGCGGTAGAGTGCTCGCCTTGAGCTGAAGAGCACTGGGACAGCACTCAAGCCCAGAGTTCAAGTCCCACGACTGACCAAAAAAAAAAAAAATTAAAATGGGCATGTGTTATTTGCATATGCCTTGCACAAGCAAGGGCCTACCTTCAATCCTTAGTAACAACAACAACAACAACAAAAGAAAAGAAAACAATAAAAATCAATCCAGAGCTTGAGGCTTATGAAAGAAAGCTCTAGATTTCTGGGAGGAGAGGAGATAAGAGAATGTAATTACGGAGTGTCACACACCCTTTATCCCCCTCTCTTTATTAGTTGTATGAATGTGACCTTATAATAATCTATTACATATGTGTATATATTGCATAATAAGGAATCTATACTTATATATGCTGAGACAGAAAATACCAGAGAAAGGTAAAATTTCAGGTGGGCCTTAAATGATTTCATCAGGTAAGAGATGGAGAGGAAGGATAATTCAGGAGAGAACAGTATAGGCAAAAGTCAGAAGAGAAAATCTGTAGCATGTTTATGGAAAGATGAATGGATCAATGTTATTAATCTATTACAAATTCTGTTGACATTTACTTCATTTCTTTATTTCCCACTACAATTCCCCTTTAGTTGGTTTCTTGCCTCTAAGTTTGCCAATTGCAAGGCCATCCCTGTAGTCATTAGAATGAACTAAATCCTGTATCTGACCATCATTCCTCTTCTCTCCTAAAAATCCAGCTAATAGGATCTAAAGTATGTATCTAGGATAACTGAAAACATCATGTCCCAAAATGTGTGCACAACTGTTCGTAGCAGCATTGATCACAATAGCTGAATGAATAGAATGAATTCATTTTTCAAAAAAGTAGAAACCATACAAATATGCATGGATAAAGTTTGATTTATATATATACCATAGAATCTTTTTGGCTATAAAAGGCATAGAACACTGAAAGATGACAGTATGATTGATCCTTGCCAGTTACAAAAGGCCATGTCCTTTTATATGCAGTATCCCCAAAACAGAAAACAGATTGCTGTTTGTCAAGTGGGGGAGGAAGTGGAGGAGTGATTGCAAATGAAAGTGATTGTGAAATAAATTGGTGTTAAAACGATGAATCCCATTCTCTCATTTCAGATGTCTTTTGCAGTCTTATTATTTTCATTATTTGCTCTTTCCTCCTGGATTTTGATTTTTAATTCCTTAATTTGTTTACTTTTTTCTGAAATATTTTTCATAAGTATAAATACAGAACTATTTTGTTCAATTATTATCACTGCTTCTGCAAATAATGAATGTGTTTGAATTTTGTGATAAAATCTAAGGCTAGAATCAGTTACTATTTCAAATAGTATTCATTCTTCTTCCTCTTCCTGCTCAGCATTGCTGGAGATTTAACCCTGGCCTCAAGCATGTTAGACAAGCACTCCACCACAGCCCTACTACTGGGCCACCACAGATAAATAAAACTGAAGATATAGTTGAATGTTCAAAGAAAAAAATAACCCTCAAAAAAGAGCCATGTATTTAACTAATGTGATGCTTTACCTATTCTTTATACTATGTTTATAGTTTTTTGTTTTGTTTTGTTTTTTTGGTCAGTTGTGGGTCTTGAACTCTGGGCCTGGGCGCTCTCCCTCAGCTCGTCAGCTCAAGGCTAATGCTTTACTACTTGAGCCAAAGCACTACTTCCAGTTTTCTAAGTGGTTTATTGGAGATAAGAGTCTCATGGATTTACTTGCCCAGCTGGCTTTGAACCGAGATCCTTGATCCTCAGATCTCAGTCTTCTGAGTAGTTAGGATTACACATGTGAGCCACTGGTGCCTGGCTATATACACTTATATTTATATTTATATGTTTATTTATCTTTGGTAGTAGTTCTAGGGCTTGAACTCAGGGTCTAGGTGCTATACTTATTTATCTTTTGTGCTCAGAGATAGCATTCTACCACAATCTAGCCATAGTTCCACTTTTGGAATTTTGGTTAAATAGACAGAAGATTTTCACAGAATTTCCTGCTCAGGCTGGCTTTGAACTTTGATTCTGAGATCTCAGCCTCCTGAGCAGCTAGGATTACAGATGTGAACCACCAGCACCCTGCTTTTATGTCTTTGTATATAAAGAAACTTTTATGCTTGTAACCAACTAGAGTTTAGTGCTGTCATGTGACATAGACTCCAAAGTGAAAATGATCATAAATCTCAAAATAATGCTTGATCATAGTATCAATTATGATATAATTTTAATATAGTATCTCCAATAGTAATAATTCTTCTTAAATATCATTTTAGATATTTTTAGTGTGAACATTAAAAAAAAAAAACTATGTTTAATTATCAGGGCTTCAAAGACAATGTCTACCGTAAAAGACGGAAGTATTTTGCAGAATTGGCTATGAACTACAAACAGTAAGTATATTATAAAATAACATATTTGGCTTTGAGATAATAAATGAATAGAATAACTTGGATTTTTTTAGTAAATAAAAAAAAAATAAGCCATGCATGGTGGCGCATGCCTGGAATCCCCATACTTGGGATTCCAAAGCAGGAGAATCTTGAGTTTGAGGCCAGCCTGTGCTCCCTAGGGAGTTCCAGGCCAATCTGGGCTATATGGCTGCACAGACAGAATCTATCTAAAAAAAATAAAAGTAGGGGCTGGGAAGGTGGCTCAGTGGTAGAGCGCTTGCCTTGCATGCCTGAGGCTCTGGGTTCGATTCCTCAGTACCACATAAGCAAAAAGGAAAAAGCCAGAAGTGGCGCTGTAGCTCAAGTGGCGAGTGCTAGCCTTGAGCTGAAGAGCTGAGGGACAGCGCCCAGGCCCAGAGTTCAGGCCCCACGACCGGACCCAAAAAAAATAAAATAAAATACAAGTAAAAACAAAAATAAAGGCAAGTAACTTGAGGGTATGGGTGGTGTTGGGATAGATGGGGGGAGAATGATGCATTGTACTCACAAGCTTATATATTAAATCAAAATCCCTTTCTTTGTATATTTAATGATAATTTAAAAAATGGAGCCAGGTGCTAGTGGCTTACACTTGTAATCCTAGCTATTCAGGAAGCTGAGATCTTAGGATCCTAATTCAAAAGTCTATAAGACTCTTATCCCTAATCAATTACGCCTCTCCCTCCACCCCCCCCCATACCCAAAAGCCAGAAGTAGAGCTCTGGTTCAAGTGGTAGAACTCTAGTTTGAGCAAAAAAGAGGTCATGACAGTGCACAGGCCATGAGTTCAAGCCCTAGAACCAGCAAACACACAAAAAAGGAAAATGAAGTAAGCACTGCTGTTTATTAACTAGTAATTGGGAATGTTTCCTCCTCTTTATTTCATTAGTGGAGACCCGATTCCTAAGGTTGAATTCACTGAAGAAGAGATCAAGACCTGGGGGACCGTTTTCCGAGAACTCAACAAACTCTACCCCACCCATGCTTGCAGAGAGTATCTCAAAAACTTACCATTGCTTTCTAAATATTGTGGATATCGGGAAGATAATATACCACAATTGGAAGATGTCTCAAACTTTTTAAAAGGTAACATACTAAATTATTTTTAATGAGGAGAATGCTCATTCTTTTGTTTCCCTTCTGCTCCTAGGGCTTTTTGCTTAAGGCTAGCTAGCACTCTACCACTTCAGACTTTGTTTTTGGTAATTTATCGGAGATAAGAGTCTCATGGATTTTTCTACCTGGGCTTGCAGCCTCCTGAGTAGCTAGGATTACAGATGTGAGCTATCAGAACCTGGCTGACTTCTCTTTTGATCATTACAGCCTAGAGGAATAAAGCCTAGTTACATGCAAGGTCAGGATTGTCCCATTCTCTCTCCTTGAGTATTGGATCAGGACTGGGCACCAATTTGAAGAGGGATAATCACAACCTAGAGCAAGAATACAGCAAAGTGAGCAGGAAATTTGAAAATTTATCATGTTAAGTAAAATTTGAAGAAACGCTTAGGTTATTTGACTTGGAGTTTAGGGGAAATTTGTTACATATTTTAAAACTTGCTTATTTGAAACTGACTTAATAAAACAGATCACTATGTGACACTATAGTAAAGGACTGTTCAATACCCAGTAGTCAGCATGGAGAACACCATGTTAAAGCACAAACAGGGTAGGCCAGGTGTGGTGGTTCAAGCCTGTCATCCCAGTTAGGTGGGAGTATCATGTTCTGAAGTTAGTCCAGGGCAAAAGTATGAGACCCAACCTAAAGCCATAAAAGAAAGACAGAAAAAAGGATAGGATACCTATCTGTCTGTCTGTCTGTCTGTCTGTCTGTCTGTCTGTCTGTCTGTCTGTCTGTCTGTCAAGCTATTCCCTTAGAGACTGGAGGCTAGGCTGGCTGTAGAACATCTTGTTGAAAATATTTCCAGGGCAAATGTCAAAGTGTCAACATTAAAGACAATGGAAGGGGATACCTACACTGTCAAATGGCTACTGTCTATGGTAGCCATACTAGTCACGTTTTAAATGTTCAGTAGCTATATGTGGCTATGATTGCCTTATGGGACAGCACAGCTATTAGATAGAAAGTATTTATGTCTTTCTGGAAAGTTCAATTGGACAGTACTCTGCCTATTAGTATGGGACCATTTGAGCACAGTGCAACTGGATGGAACTGGAATGCCTGAGTTGTGAAGGTTTGGGGGAGAGACTAGATTGGAGCTTGCAGAGTCTCTCAAGTTCCTGAAGCCTAGCCACTGGCCCCTTTGACAGGACATATGTAGTCTTGGTGCTAGGAGGATAGAAATGTATCATTCAGGATAGCATGGCTAAAATCACATAGATTAAAAAAATGTTCTAAAGAAAAGGTCTTCATCTTTGTGTAAAAAGCAAGTGCAACTAGGGAATATTGTCCTCCCCTGAGGAAGCAAAATGTAATATAGAGAGACTTGGTTGCTAATCTTACCTTTATCCTCTACTGTGTGTTCTTGAGCACTTTATCTAGTCTCTGTGCTTCAGTTTTTTTAAATTAATTTTTTTTTTTTTTTTGTCGGTTGTGGGGCTTGAACTCTGGGTCTGGGCGCTGTCCCTCAGCTCTTCAGCTCAAAGCTAGCGCTCTACCACTTGAGCTACAGCACTACTTCCGGTTTTCTGGTGGTTTATTGGAGATAGGAGTCTCACAGTCTTTCCTGCCCGGGCTGGCTTTGAACCGCGATCCTCAGATCTCAGCTTCCTGAGTAGCTAGGATTACAGGCGTGAGCCACCAGCGCCTGGCTTAAATTAATTTTTTATTGTTATTATAAAAGTGATTATAGAGGAGTTACAGTTACATAAGTCAGGTAAGAAGTACTTTTGGATAATGTCACCCCTTCCCTTTTACTCTCAATTTTTTTCCTGCGAGTCTCATAAGTTGTATAGTTCATTTTCAATATAGTGTATGCTTTAGTTTTATAGCTGTCACAATAAGGCAATTCATGTTGTAAACATGAAAGAGCTGGGCTTGGCCACTGTTAATTTTTTTTTTTTTGCTGGTCCTGGGCTTGAACTCTAGGTCTGGGCGCTGTCCCTTAGCTCTTCAGCTCAAGGCTAGCACTCTACCACTTGAGCCACAGCACCACTTCTGGCTTTTTCTGCTTGTGTGGTGCTGAGGAATCAAACCCAGGGCCTCATGCATGCAAGGCAAGCACTCTACCACTGAGCCACCTTCCCAGCCGTTGTTAATTGTTTAATAATTTTTTTAGTTTCTTTTATTAAGACACATGTCGTGCACACGTGCGAGTGGTATGTGTGTGTGTGTGTGTGTGTGTGTGTGTGTGTGTGTGTGTGTGTGTGTGCATGCTTGTGCCAGTCCTGGGGCTTGAGTTCAGGGCCTACGTGCTATCCTTGAGCTTTGGTGTTCAGGGACAGTGCTCTACCACTTGAGCCATAGATTCACTTCCAGCTTTTTGGTGGTTAACTGAAGAGAAGAGGCTCACTGACTTTCCTGCATGGGCTAGCTTTGAACCATCATCCTCAGATCCCATCCTCCTTAGTAACTGGGATTACAGGCATGAGCCACAGGTACCTGGCAGATGATATGTTCTCATTTCCATGTCCTTCCTCAAAGCATTACTTGGTGCCATTGGCAGAAGTAAAATGTAGCCAACGATCTCCACCTGAGGTGAACATTTCTGTTTTCTGTTTTCTCCTTGGTTTTGCAGAGCGCACAGGGTTTTCCATCCGTCCCGTGGCTGGGTACTTATCCCCAAGAGATTTCCTATCAGGTTTAGCCTTTCGAGTTTTTCACTGCACCCAGTACGTGAGACACAGTTCAGATCCCCTGTACACCCCAGAGCCGTAAGTACTTCTACTGCAGCTATTATAATAATGGTACCCACCTCATAGGTTTAATGAATTCGTATGTATGTACACTTGAACTAAACATTCCATGCTCTGTACAATTACCCATTATTATTATTATTATTGACAACTTGTTAGGTACCAGATGGTGTTCTAAGCTTAAGGAATGTGAAAACAAAATCAGAGAAAAATTCCTGTTTTCTAATGTTTGAATTTTGAGGAGTGGGGCTACATATAATAATGTGTGTGTGTGTGTGTGTGTGTGTGCCAGAAAAAGAGAGAAAGAGAGCACAGATGCCATGGAGAAAAATAAATGTGGGAAAGAAGTTGGAAAAGTCTATGTGGGCGCTGTTGCTGTGTGAAGGGTGATCGTGGAGAAAATGGCATTTGGGTAGTCAGTTGATTTGGATGGGGGTGAGAAGATGGGGATGGATGTCTTTGAATATCTAATATGTATGTGCATGCTCGTGTGTGTGTGTGTGTGTGTGTGTGTGTGTGTGTGTGTATGTGTGTGTGTGTGTGTGTGCATGTAGCCAAGATTTTGAACCAAAATTGTTACTTTACTTAGTGTCCTTCATTGTTACCTGAGCAACTAGAATAAAAATAAACGTGGATTTTGACTCGATTAAATAGTTGATTATACATTTATGCTAAGCATCACAAACCTTTATTGCAGAGATACCTGCCATGAACTCTTAGGTCATGTTCCCCTCTTGGCTGAACCTAGTTTTGCACAGTTCTCTCAAGAAATTGGCCTGGCTTCCCTTGGAGCTTCAGAAGAGGCTGTTCAAAAGCTGGCAACGGTATGAGTCTGGCAGTAACTGTATAGTTCAGTACTTCTCAGTTGAGTGTAGTGTATAAGAATGTATATAGTTCAAAAGTTCATGTTCAAGACAACGTTCAAGAAACGTTGCCTTTGCTCATAGTATTTTAAACTCAATAAATTTAAGTAACATTAAAGTAGATGTGAAATTTAAGGGTTCTCAAAAGAAGACATGAGCTCTATAAAAAGTAGTGTAGCACAATAATATGATTACTAGTTTGAATACTTCCTATTTCCAATAAAAATAGTGAGTGCCACAAGATTATATTAAAATATTTCAAACACTAGGCAGAAGATCCTGTCCTGGAAATAGAAAGATGAGAAGGCCATTAGGATATACTACATGAGGGGACAGTCACCTTGGAATGAGTGAAGTCTACAGGGACATTCACACAATCTACTCTGGGAGGGCAGAGGATCATCTGAGGAAGGTTTCATGAGAGGAACATTTGAAGTAACTGATGAAAAATGTATCAGGAAAGGAAGTAAGAGCATCTTAGGATGAGGATATACAAAGAAAGACAATAAGGTACTTGGTGTGTCTGGGTACCACAAGACACTGGAATCGAGTGTGTGAGGGTGGGGGGTGTGGTGTACAATGGGCTAGATGATTAGGGAAGGGCTTCTTAAATTGTGATTGGGGATCCTGGGGGTCTCTCATGCCTTGTACAGGGTCCTTGAGGTCAAAATCTGCCCAGACAAAAGATCTGGTTCAAAGTTCAAAGTGGATTTTATGTTAACAGAGTTCATTGAAAAGAGTTCAAATTCCACATGGCAGCTCAAGTCTAAGAAAAGACTATGTTGCAGTTTTTACTTAGTTCAAAGAATAGGCACATTTAACTAAAAAGACGATTAAAATTCTCAGCCTTTTCCAACAGAGAAGAACTATATGGAGTGAATTAATTTCACATGTTTTAACCCAAATATATTGTAACAGGTGGAATGTAGAAACAGATGTTACAATCCATTTGTCTTCTGGCCAGTCATGAAATAAAGTCTAGCCAGACATTTATACTGTCTATAATAATATTGTTAACTAGCTTGATTCAATCATTTCACACTGTGGAGCCAATTAACTACTTGACTTGTGAAAAAAAATTAAAATACAGGGGCTGGGAAGGTGGCTCAGTGGTAGAGCACTTGCCTTGCATGCCTGAGGCCCTGGGTTCGATTCCTCAGCACCACATAAGCAAAAGAGAAAAAAGCCGGAAGTGGCGCTGTGGCTCAAGTGGTAGAGCGCTAGCCTTGAGCTGAAGAGTTGAGGGACAGCGCCCAGGCCCAGAGTTCAGGCCCCATGACTGAACCCCTCCCCCCAAAAAAATTAAAATACAATACATCACTACTTTTTGTTTTGTAAAATTGACCTTTATTAAAATGTTACTATAAAATGGCTACTATACTTAAAACTATCATTAAATTATTTTTTTTATCAGTTTTAATTTTAATATGGTTGATATAGCTATCTGTGCCTCACAAGAGATCTTTGGGGTCCCCTGTAATTTTTAAGTTATGTATGAGTCTTCAGAGCAGCTTGGGAAATTACTTTTGTTTAGGATGAGCCAGACTGTAGAAAGACTATTGAATAAAGGTTAGGGTGGCCGGGCACTGGTGGCTCATGCCTCTAATCTTAGCTACTCAGGAGGCTGAGATCTGAGGATCGTGGTTCAAAGCTAGCTTGGGCAAAAAAGTCCGTGAGACTCTTATCTCGAATAAACCACTCAGAAAATCAGAAGTGGTGCTGTGGCTCAAGAAGTAGAGTGCTAGCTTTGAACTGATGATCTCAAGGACAGTGCCCAGGCCCAGAGTTTCAAGCCCATTGCCCCCCCCAAAAAAAAAAAAGGTTAGGGTAATGGGATTTACCTAAGAATATATTGAGCAATTGGCTAAGAGTTGAAATCTGTTTTAAACTGGAGTTGAAATCTGTTTTAAACTAAGCCATTCAGGATGTGAAAGTAATACTGACATCCTTTTGTAGTGCTACTTTTTCACTGTGGAGTTCGGTCTGTGTAAACAAGATGGGCAACTAAAAGTGTTTGGTGCTGGCTTGCTTTCTTCTATCAGTGAACTCAAAGTAAGAGACATAAATCTTTACACTTACCTGTTTCACCTGCTGTAATTGATATATTGACTATAAATGAAATAGTTTTTGTATTTGAAATAGTTTTTTATTTTGAATAAGACTTTGCTATAGAAATTCTTGTGTAGCAGAAAACATTATTTGAAGACATTTTTTTCTCTATGAAATATGCAAAGGTATTTTCCTTTCTGGTATATGAACAATAATTTTTACAACTAGTCAGGAATTGGGACTTAGTATCTATACAGTGTTTCAGTGGATCTGTTTGTTGAGTGATAGATATCTATCCAACACTGTCCAAGATATTTTCTTGGTGTCAATGACTCTGTACCCCCTGGTGGTGGGTATAACTCAGTCAAGTATCAATGTAAATAGTTCTGGGTAGAAAGTAGGTGCTATAATGTAGGAATAAATGTCTTTGAGGCATTTTTTGTGGGGTGGGGGGAGGTGGCTGGAAAAAAGCCATCCCTTTTGTTGGAGTATAATATGGATTAAATAGAGCTATAGGAAATAGCTTTGAAACAGTACATTTAGGGGTGTGCCAGCTCTGGCAGCAGTGTAATCTATGAAAATAGATTGTATTCTTTGACCCACTGACTCTTTGTCCTCTAGCATGCACTTTCTGGACATGCCAAAGTAAAGCCCTTTGATCCCAAGATTACTTGCAAACAAGAATGTCTCATCACAACTTTTCAGGATGTCTATTTTGTATCTGAAAGCTTTGATGATGCAAAGGAGAAGATGAGGTAAAGCGTATCTTTCTCATGCCTTCCTTCATTACCTTCTGAAAAAGTTAGATCTAATAATCATAATAAGTCACAAAAGGAAGGAGCCAGATAATTAGGAGTCAGCACTTTAGGATGCTTTTTTTTTTTTAAACACTATCCCTTTTCTTCTCTTCTTTTTTTCTTTTCTTTTCTTCTTTTCTAAACATTTTTTTTCTTTTAAACTTTTCTTTTTTCAACTTCAAATGGTTGTAGAAGGAGGTTACCATTTAACATGAGTCCAGTGCTTCTTGATTAGAGTCATTCCTTCTATCATTCCTTACTCAGTACATCTCCCTTTCATAAGAAATATTTAAAGTATGTTGCATATATTGAGGTACTTACAAATATGAATCAAGTACATTGAGAAATTGGTTTCTTTTCATTCCTTCTAATCAGAGAATTTATAGATTATTAGGGAAAATGAACTGTATATGAAAGTACAGAAAATGATAAGAAAAGATATACAGCTGGAATATTATTCTGTGTTGTATTCAAGAGTAATTCATTTCAGCTGGAAGAACAGGGAAAGCTTACTGGTACGTGAAAAACGATTAAAAGATATACACTATTTAGCCTGAGAGACAATGTAGGAAAAGATAATGGGTTGAAAAGCATAGGAGATACAGCAATCAAAGCTATACTTTAATTTTTTTATGGTAGCAATGAAGTTTTGAACTTGCTAGGCAAGCACTCTTCTACTTGAGTCATGCTTCCAGCCCTTACTGCTTTAGTTATTCATAAAGAACCTTATGATTTTTTTTTTTTGGGTCCTGTCGTGGGCCTGAACTGTGGGCCTGGGCGCTGTCCCTCAGCTCTTCAGCTCAAGGCTAGCACTCTACCACTTGAGCCACAGCGCCACTTCGGGCTTTTTTTTTTTTTTCTGCTTATGTGGTGCTGAGGAATGGAACCCAGGGCCTCATGCATGCAAGGCAAGCGCTCTACCACTGAGCCACCTTCCCAGCCCCGAGCCTTATGATTTTTGCCTGTGCCAGCCTCAAACCATGATCCTTCTAGCTATGCCTCCTGTGTAACTAGGATCATAGACATTTTCCTTCATACTCAGCATATTTATTATTATTATTTGTGGGGTTTAAACTTGGGACTTAGGTGCTTTCCCTGAGTTTTTTCATTCAAGGCTAGAGTTCTATAACTTTGACTCACAGTGCCGCTTCTGGTATTCTGTGGTTAATTGGAAATAAGAGTCTCATGGACTTTCCTGCCCAGGCTGGCTTTGAACCACAATCCTGAGATCGGCCTCCTGAGTAGCTAGGATTACAGGTGTGAGCCACCAGGCACCTGGCTACTTTTTTTTTTTTTTAAATAAGGTCTCACTAATTTCTTGGTCCTCTGGGCTGGTCTTGAATCATCCTCCTCCCATCTCTGATTCCCGAGTAGCTGGGGTAGCAAGTGTGAGCCACTATGATTGGAGTATACTTTACACTTGTGAATAAATAAAATATTGTACACAGAAACACTTTTTGGAAGACTTTTTTTTTGGTCTTCAGGTGAAATAAGATAGAGGTAGAAGGAAAAGAAAGGACTATATAACCCGAATTAACAAAACAACATTTGGAAGAGCAGGTACAAGGTCACACTGTTTTGAAGGAACAGATAGGAATTGAAGGCCTCTTCCTTAGTTTCTAAGGATTTGCTATTGTTGAGGAGTTAATCCATGCACAGAAGTAAACAATTCCAGCAGGGCTTTTTCTAGCACAGATGATACCTTTATGCAAATTAGAAGTGGTCCCCTTTTGGGACCATTTTTCAACCAAATTGGTTGAAACCTGGATTTCAGTTCCTACTCATGTCCAATTATACTTAGCTGCACAATTACCCTTAAGAGTCCTGAACATGATTGTTAGTTATTGAAGCTACCATAGAGCAATTCAAATGATAAAGGAGGCAAAATTTTACTGCTTAAAGACAGAGTAGCATTTAACTTATTTGAGAGGAGGCTAGAATATTCTAAGTAGAAAGTATGTAAGAGGCAGGACTCTTTCTGGCTTTCCCAGCATGCCTTCACTCTGTGTGTGTGTGTGTGTGTGTGTGTGTGTGTGTGTGTGTGTGTGTGTGTGTGTGTGTGTAGATATATGATGTAGACTATAGCTGAGGATTACACATAGTCAAGTGATGTCAAGTGATAGTCAAGTGATAAATCTACTGTGGTTACTATCCTTAGTGTAGTAAAGAGAGCGGGGTTGTGGCTTAGCACTTCCTGGCATGTGGCTTAGGTTTTTATTCCAAGCACTGCAAGAAAGAAAGAAAGAAAAGGAATCCAAAGGATATATAAAGTAGTAATCATGAAGAAAGTGATCTCTAGGCTCTTTTCTAATAATGTCAGGGGACTTTAGGGTTTTCTACCTGTTGGATTCTATGGGGCCTCTGCACAGGCAGGTAGGAAAGACTACATTGGCTGTCCACATATTGAATAAAGACTTGTTTTTTTGCCTACTCTGTGAAATAGGTTTATTTTTGGTTGTTATATGTTAGTTTTCATCATTGCCTGTTTTCAAGAAACTGACAGTCTCATACTTGTTTTCTGAAATAGAGAATTTACCAAAACAATTAAGCGTACATTTGGAGTGAAGTATAATCCATATACGCAGAGTATTCAGATCCTGAAAGATGCCAAGAGCATAACCAGCGCCATGAACGACCTGCGGCATGATCTCGACATTGTCAGTGATGCCCTTGCTAAGGTTAGCAGGCAGTCAAGTATGTGACAATCATAGTCTTAATCCACAAAGCCATCTAGCATCGGCTCAGAGCTCAGGGGCAACTGAAGACCTGACTGGAGTGACAACTGCTTCTGGCTAAACAATGCTTTCTAATCCTACCCATGTCTGCATGACACACCAGTTTTTATTTTGTCTATTCTTTACTGAAGTATAAAATTTATATATCATGCAATCTACTAATTGCCCATTTTAATAGAGAATTTGTTTGACTCAGTGATAGATATACTTTTACTCCATTTATCCTTGTTTTTCTTGAGTAAAATGACCTTTCTGATCACTTGATCACTGTTGCAGAGCTAACCCATAATTATTACCTATGTCTGTTACATCATTGAATTTGTGCTGAGCCCAACTGCAGTCACACATATAAATTTAATAGGAGACAAGCTGCCCTTGATGCTAAGATGAGCAAAATTATAGAAATTTTCACATATGAACATGCCTAGTAAAGAACATATAGATAGTCTAGTTTCAAGTAGTCTAGTCTTATAGAAATAGATAAATGGAAGTGGAGCTGTGGCTCAAAGGATAGAGTGCTAGTGTTGAGCAAAAGAGCTCAGGGATAGTGACCTGGCTGAGTTTAAGTCCTATAACTAACAAAACAAAAGCCTGAAATAGCTAAATATCAGCTTGATATGGTGGCACATGCCCATATTCCCAGCATTCAGGAATGAGAGGCAGGAGGATTCAGTGTTTGACTCTTTTTTTTAAAAAAAGTGGCTAAGTCTGGAAGGGTTGATTGTAGTATAAGTCTTAAAAAACAAAGAATATCATGTTTTTTGTTTTTTGTTTTGGTCCGGTCGTGGGGCCTGAACTGAGGGTCAGCTCAAGGCTAGCGCTCTACCACTTGAGCCACAGCGCCACTTCCGGCTTTTTTTTCTGTTTATGTGGTGCTGAGGAATCGAACCCAGGGCCTCATGCATGCAAGGCAAGCACTCTACCACTGAGCCACCTTCACAGCCCTCATGTTTTGTTTTATAGGCACAAAAAGGCCTCCATTCTTATTTTGGATAACTCCAGTATTTGCAGTTCTAAGCGTGACATCTTTCTTGAATGTTGACTCTTAGTTCCAACTACCTGCTGGATATTTTCATCTAGCTGTCCCATAAGTTAGTTTAATGTTATGGAATTTCATATGACACCACTCAGATGGAAGAATGGGTTGGTAACCCTGCCAAGTATCAGAATCACCAGAATTAAACCCAATAGACTTTCCCAGCAATCTCATTACTGCTAGTAGAATATTAAGGATCATATTTCTGTTTATTTTCCAGATTTAATAAGCTGCTTTAAAACTCTGTCCTTGTTTCTTTCATCACTAGTCAAATTGTATACTATTTAACATGTATTTCAAAAGGCCATTAAATTTTGAATCCCTTTTTAAGACTCCAGAAGGATTTATCAAAAAAGATTTAAAAGTTCTATTTCATTTTATGTTCTATTATGAAATAGGATTTGAAAGAGTAATTTATGCTATTTGAGATCTTTATATCACTGTGTATTTTAGTAGTAACAGCTATACATTTGGTAATAAATATATTTGTTATTAGCTAATCTGAAATCATTTGAAGTATTGGTTATTTTATAATTTAGTTGTTGAAAAAGAATAGTTAGAAAATCATAATTTTGCCCAAAGCAAATTATATTCTGGTTATTTTTATAAACTTTGATCATGCTGAAAAATCAATTACTGAATTTCAAAATGATGGTAGTAAAATCACTTGATGGCATGAGGCTCTGAGTACCACATACAAAAAAAAATCACTAAAGGGGCTGGGAAGGTGGCTCAGTGGTAGAGCGCTTGCCTTGCATGCCTGAGGCCCTGGATTCGATTCCTCAGCACCACAAAAGCAAAAAGAAAAAAGCCAGAAATGGCGCTGTGGCTCAAGTGGTAGAGTGCTAGCCTTGAGCTGAAGAGCTGAGGGACAGTGCCCAGGCCCAGAGTTCAGGCCCCACGACCGGACCCCCCCAAAAAAATCACTAAAATTAATGTACACTAAAATTAATGTTAAAGGTTGCAGAACTCTATAATTCACAAATTCAGTACTATGGAAGTATTTAATGATGGATTTCAATTTTTCATTCTGACCTTTGTATCTGTGATATTTGATAAATCAGGAACCTTTTAGAATTTTTATGTATTTTAAATATATGTGTTTAAATTACCTAGGAAGATGTTAATAGTTACTCAAATATCAGAATAGAATTGAACCAAAAGCTGAGTTTACTATTATTTATCAGTGAGTCATTACTCAAAGACATTTTAATATCCTCTTAACCTTTTGAAGAAAGTCCCAAAACAGCTCATACAAACGTCACTAATCATGTTATTTTGTCATTTGAATTTTACAAGTAGTAACAACACAGGAAATTGTACAGAATTATTGTACATTTTTCAAGTTGACTTCTATAGCAGAGAAATAACCATCCTGGAATTATTTAAAGGAATATAAAATAGAGTCCGTATTTTAAGGTCTAGGAAGTGAATAGAGATAACTCAAGTCTATTTTAGTGTAGTCTTTGTCCTTTCATATAATGTACATTTGTAATGTGCAAATTGATCATTCAACTGGATAATAAATGAACACAAATTTCATGTTCTCAGTGAGTATTTTTTCATCAAGACATGTTAAAACCATTTAAATGTATATAAGTAATTTTATTAGTTAAAATCCATCAAGTCTTTATACTTTTTTAAAAAATCCTGTCGGGGCTGGGAAGGTGGCTCAGTGGTAAAGTGCTAGCCTTGCATGTGTGAGGCCCCGGGTTTCGATTTCTCAGCACCACATAAGCAGAAAAAGCCAGAAGAGTCACTGTGGCTCAAGTGGTAGGGCACTAGCCTTGAGCTGAAGAGTTGAGGGACAGCGCGCAGGCCCAGAGTTCTGGCCCCATGACCGGCAAAAAATAAAAACAAAAACAAAAAAAACCTACGGTTATGAGACACAAAAGAGCCAAGAATACCTAGAACTTAGTAGCCATTGAGTAAATCATCACTGTCATGTTCCTCATCTGAAAAAGAAGCTAAGCTCAGCATTGGTTTATTAGAGAAAATTATGCCCCAACAGACTGTAAAATGAAACTTTATTTTTCTGCATGTAAAGAATTACTCTCCTAATCAAAGATTCCCTCATAGCTTCTGGGTGATATCTTCTTCCTCCAGAGGAGGTTAGCTTTGCCTCTAGCAGGTACTGTGTATATTATGGCACAGGGAGCTCATGTTGGTCCAGTAAGGGATTGAGCCATTGAGAAGCTGAGCTTCAGGCTGGGAGGCTGATCTACTTATAGTTCACACACTCAGGGTGTATTAGCCCTTTAGGGGTGAGTGTAAACAACGAGTACTCCCCATTTTGGACCTGGACTTTTACTCTTGTCCCCTCCTTCACCTTTACTCTCAGTCCCATATTAGATTTTTAAAATTACTATTTAGTTTCCCAACTACTGGTTCAGCCTAAGTTCTTAGTTTCTAAGCCATTGCTTGCTAGTTAGCAAGTGCTTAGGGACAAAAGTTGGGCAAATATAATTCCTTGGTTTCCAGATCAAGGCCCTTTCAAGCTCCTGCTGCTTTGGTAATTCTCCAATGACTTGAAAACAGATTTGGAAAAAAAGTGACTTCCAGCTTTTCTAGTTGTTTTTGGTGAAAGAATTGTGTGCTTTCTAGTTAATCTCCCTTTACCCAAAGCAGAAACCCGATTCTGATATTCCATCATTTAACTTCTTTGAGCCTTAGTTTTCTCAGCTACAAAATGATTATCTAAACAATACTTATATTTGGGGATGATCAAATAAAATAGTCAGATGGAAAAAAAAAAGGTTCAGATGGAAAAAAAAAGGTTCTGTGTGGTAGAGAAATGGGAGTTGTGTGGCCCAAGCACTTTGCATTTTCCTCTTAAGGAGAGATAAGGTGATACCATCTAATAGTTTAAGTCTAACTCTACTTAAGAACTTCCATTCAACCAGGCTGGAAGGAGTCTGTCAGTGGCATGTACATAGTTGAAATAGTTGCAACATCCTAAGGCTTCCAGGAAATTATACGAATGGATAAAGCCTAATATAATTGTAGGTTAGCTAAGCTATAAATGAATGTATATTCAAAGAGTGAAATCAGAAAGCAATTTTTTTTTTTGGTCAGCCGTGGGGCTTGAACTCTGGGCCTGGGCGCTGTCCCTCAGCTCTTCAGCTCAAGGCTAGCGCTCTACCACTTGAGCTACAGCGCCACTTCCGGTTTTCTGGTGGTTTATTGGAAATAGGAGTCTCACGGTCTCTCCTGCCTGGGCTGGCTTTGAACCGCGATCCTCAGATCTCAGCCTCCTGAGTAGCTAGGATTACAGGCGTGAGCCACCAGCGCCAGGCTCTCTTTTTTTGGGGGGAGGGGTCCGGTCGTGGGGCCTGAACTCTGGGCCTGGGCGCTGTCCCTCAGCTCTTCAGCTCAAGGCTAGCGCCCTACCACTTGAGCCACAGCACCACTTCTGGCTTTTTTCTTATGTGGTGCTGAGGAATCGAACCCAGGGCTTCAGGCATGCAAGGCAAGCTCTCTACCACTGAGCCACCTTCCCAGCCCTCAGAAAGCAGTTGTATCCTGCACGACTCCCTTTATTAAAAACTGGTTCTGTAGATAGTTCTTTGCTTATTTGGGTGAAATCCAAACTTTGTTGTTTACGCACAGATTAAAAAATGTTCTTAAGACTTTAAAATCCTGAAAAAGGAAATTAAAGCAGAATTAAGGAAGTGGAAAAACCTCCTATGCTTCTGTATTGGAAGAATTAACATAATGAAAATGGCAATACTTCTAAAGGTTATCTACAAATTCAATGTAATACCTATCAATATCCCAACCTCATTCTTCAATGAAATAGAAGAAGCAATCCAAAAATTCATATAGAACAATAAAAGACCCCGAAGTACAAAAACAATCCTTAGCAGAAAGAACAGTAGTGGAGGGATAGCAATACCAAATTTCAAACTCTACTGCAAAGCCACAGTAATCAAAACAGCTTAGCACTGGCACAAGAACAGACCTGAGGACCAATGGAATAGAACTGAAGACCCAGAAATGAACCACAGACCTATAGCCACCTAACCTTCAATAAAGGGAGCTAAAAATATAGAATGGAAGAAAGACAGCCTCTTCAGTAAATGGTTCTGGCAAAATTGGTTAAACACCTGTGGAAAACTAAAGCTAGATCCCCATATATCACCCTGAACCAGAATCAACGCCACATGGATCAAAGACCTCGAAGTCAAAGCAGACACCCTGAAAACATTAGAGGAAGGAATAGGAGAAACTCTAGGGCTCTGTGGCACAGCCTGAAATTTTCTTAATAAAGACTCAGAAACACAACAAATCAAAGAAAGGTTGGACAAATGGGATTGCATGAAACTGCAGAGCTTCTGCATGGCAAAGAACAGAGCAAGCAAAATCAATAGAAAGCCCACGGATTGGAAGAAGATCTTCACTAGCCATACAACAGACTAGGGTCTCAAATCTGAAATATACTTAGAACTGAAAAAATTAAATTCCCCAACAACAAATCCTCAAAGAAACAACCACACAATTAATAAGTGGGCTAAAGACTTAAGAGCGACTTCTCTGAAGAGGAAATCAAAATGGCCAATAGACACATGAAGAAATGCTCAACTTCTTTAGCCATAAAAGAAATGCAAATCAAAACAACATTGAGATTCTACCTCACCATAGTTAGAATGACTATAATCAAGAAATCTACAAAGGAGGAGGTACCCTTGCCCTTGTAACTCCTTTGTACGGTATTTTCACAATAAAAAAAAGAAAAATAGCACATAAAAAAAGAAATCTAA